GCCATCCCCCCCCTGGGGGGTGATTTCTCGTTTGTCTCTCTGTCTTTCTGGCAAGTGCACGTGCCCTGTAGCAAAAGCCTCTCCAACAACAAAAATAATAAATTAATAAATAATAATTATTTTATTTAGGTACCAGCAGTTAGAGTGATGACTATGTCGCTGGACTCCCAAGCAGTCAACTGTAGTTCAAGTCCCTGAACCCAGTGGCTTAAACTCACACTGGGAGCGTGCATGCGTGCTCAAGATCCCAGGAGGAGAATGGAGGAGAAGGGGCTACAGTGTGGCCATCCTCCCAGGGGAGTGATTTCTCGATTTCTGTCTCTGTCTCTCTGGCAATCGCACACGTCCCATAGCAAAAATCTCTCTTAAAAACAAATGAACTCTGTGTGTCCAGATTTTAAATAACATGATGCAATAGCATGTCACACAGCCTTGCCATTTACAGCAGTTCATCACTTTACTGTCACCTCAGTGAGCTCGAATCACTGTTGGCCATGTGGGAGTCCAGTGCCGTTAACCACACGACTTGTCAGCTCCGTGAGACTAAATTTATAAATGCAGAACAACTGAGTACCCTTGTACCATGAAGACTTAAATCCTCATTATAAATAATTTTGATTAATTGGTGTGATGAAAAGGAACTAGTTTTTACTAGAAAGTATAGCCAGAATCACTACACATTCAATAAATGTGGTTTTTATAGAACCAAAGACTCTATTTTTAGAAACTTATTTATTTATTTATTTATAGTTATCATTATGAGTTTTCCATTTGCTATAGGACACACATGCTCACCAGAGAGAGACAGAGAGGGAAAGCGGGAAAGAAGCCGCCAGGTCTGGGACTTGAACCATGGTTGGCCATGTAGGAGTCTAGCATCACACCACCTGCTGCCCCCCGCCCCCTTTTAAACGGATTCTTTTTCTTTTTCTTTTTGGAGAGGTTTTTGCTATAGGGCACATGCGCTCGCCAGACAGACACAGAGAGAGACAGAGAGACAGAAAGTGAGAAATCACCCTCCAGGAGAGATGGCCATGCCATAATCCCTTCTCCTCCATTCTCCTCTCGGGATCTTGGGCACGCACGCACACTCGCCTGGCGTGAGTTTTAAGCCACCGGGACGCGAACCGTGGTTGACTACATGGGAGTCCAGCGACATAGCCATTATGCTAACTGCTGGTCCCATCTTTTTTTTTTTCTTTCCTTTAAGATTTATGCTATAGCGTATGTGTGCTCACCAAAGAGACAGAGAGACAGAAAGCAAGAAATCATCAGGGGGGTGGCTATATAGCAATCCCTTCTTCATTCTCCTCTTGGGATTTTAGGCGCACCTGCACATGCAGCCGTGAGTTTCAAGCCACTGGGTCTGGGACTCAAACCGTGATTGAATACATGGGAGTCCAGCTACGTAACCATTACATCATCTGCTTGTCCCTTTCTATTTTTTTTTTTAGGAATTTAAAATTTTATTCATCATCATTTTTAATTTGACCAGAGGGAGACAGAGAGAGAAAGAGGGAAAGTGAGAAAGCAAGCTGCCAGGTCAAGGACTTGAACTGTAGTTGGCCATGTGAGTCTAGTGCCTTAACTACCATGCCACCTGCGGGCCCACGACCAGACTCTAGAAACTAGCCAGCTAAAAGGATAATTTCTCACGATAGTTTAATTATTTTTTAATTTAAGGTTATTTGACGGGGCCATGCAGAGAACACAAGCTGGTAAAGAGGTTGTCTCCCTCTTCTAAAGGCAAGGCCTGGGCTGGGAAGAAACTGCGAGACAAGGCCGGTGGTTTACTAACCCTCCTTGTGTCGTTTTACTGGCCTACAGTTAATTTCTCTGCCGTGAGTTTTATTGTTATTATGGTACCCTGCAAGGATAAGATATCACCCCCAACCATTACAATAAAGTCAATTAGTGATCTTACAGGAATGTGGTTCCCTAAGAAGAGGGTGGGGGAAGTTTGAGACTCCCCCCACCTGTCTGTTTAAGCCAAAATTAACATATGTTAGGTCAAATTAGTATAAGTCAAAGTAGCATCAGTAGCATATGAAAGCTAAGTTAGTTTAAGGCTAGTTTTATGTAAATACCCCTTGCTAGAGCTATAGGCCAAAGTTAGCTCCTGCTAGGCAAAGTCAGCACATTCACCTGGAGATAAAACAAAAAAACTCACTAATTGACAGACTCAGCAAATAAAACAAAAACCCATGGATTTTTAAGGAAGGAAAAGCCTGACTGGCAAGACAGGATGAACAAACCTGACGGCTCCAGAAAAAGATTAACTACCTTAGCTGGGAGCTCTTATCTAAAGCAACCGGTAGCTTTCAACTAAAAGTTTCTCATCTATGTGCTGTTGACTATGAGAAACTGCTAATAAAACATCCTGTGTTGTCTCCTGAGCTACAAGATCATCTTCCTTTCCCATATAAGATCATAGACTCACCTTCTATTGTTGTAATGTATGGACAGTCCATATATTAGCTGTGTCTTTAAGACAAGATTTCTATCTAGGTCTTTGCAACCAGCAATGTTACCACCCTGGCCCGGGACTGAGACTATCAAACATCCTGCAAGCCCCTTCTACAAAAGACCCTTCCCAGTAATCAAGAGTTAAGATACAACAAACGGACTTCCTCATCCTAAAAACTGTGGTTGATTTTTACCTAATCTAACAAGACAAACAGCATGTTTTATAATTATTGTTTCCATGCTTTGTACACCCTGTTCCTTAGAGTGGGTTTTTCACTACCCCTCACCCCCTTACTTCCTAAACATCCCTCAATAAATACGCATGTCTTAATAGCCACGGGGCTGCAGCCTGGAGTTTTGCTCTGGCTGTGGCCGGCTGAGAACATGCTAAGAGGCATTGAGGTCTTAGTCTAATTTTTGTTTCTGTTCA